TGCAACACCCCCCCCCAGTTCGAATGATATCTATCGAAAGTGAATCTGGCACTGACAGAGTTGTTAGTTTGAGGCACGTTTGCCTGCAAGACGGTTCCGCAAATATGTTTGTGTCGGGCGACAAGTTCCGGTGGCAGAAGTGGTTCATAAGGAGGATGCTCTCGCGAGTAGGGAGAGAAAAGACGGCTGTTATTTGTGGTGATTTATCACAGCGTGTGAAGCACCTGGCCATTGAGTCTCAAGCCATGTCGGTGTAGTAGTCTGGGATAAAAAAACTAGCATCAGCCCTCAATCTTCGTCTATCTGAATTATGACACTCTTTGTCTCCAGGAAGTTGTTCATGCTGTACAGTATTCCCTCTCTTCCCTGACCACTTCCTTTCCAACCGCCAAACGGCAGATCCCTTCCTGTGTTGGGACTGGTGCAGTTCACGGCAACATAGCCGCTCTCCAACTTCCTTGCCATTCTCATCGCCCTGCTGATGTCTTTGGTATACACTGCCGCATAAAGACCATATTCTGTGTCGTTTGCCTTTGCCACCACCTCGTCCTCCGTCTCAAACGTATTGATGTTCACCACCGGCCCAAACACCTCCTCCTTCATGATCTTGGCGCCCTCGGGGGTGTTCAAGAACACAGTCGGCTCCACAAAGAACCCATTCATGGTGTCCAACTTCCCCTCCCCGCCCAGCGCCAGAGTTCCCGTCTTCTTGCCTTCCTCAATGTACCGCATCACGCTCTTATACTGAACCTCGTCCGCTTGCGGCCCGTGGTTTGTAGCCTTGTCAAGCGGATCTCCCGCCCTCGCAGCAGCAGCAAACTTTCTCAAAAACACCTCCACAAACTTCTCCGCCACATGCTTCTGAACATAGATCCTCGAGTTGGCCATACAAAGCTGGCCGCTGTTGGCCTGGATACTATGCTGTGTTTGTTCCGCTGCTTTGTCCAGGTCTGCATCCCCAAAGACGATGGCTGGCGACTTGCCACCCAGCTCCAGAATGACCTTCTTCAGGTTCGTCCGAGCGGCCTCCTCCTGGATCAGCTTTCCCGTCCGGCTAGACCCGGTAAAGGTCAAGGCTCGCACGTCCATATGTCCCGACAGCACCTGACCCGATGGCATGCCGTGCCCTGACAGAACGTTAAATACACCGGGGGGGAACCCGGCCTTGACCACGAGCTCTGCAATCAGAGCCACCGCCAGGGGTGCCTTTTCGCTGGATTTGACGACAACGGTGTTGCCCGTGATCAGCGCCGGCGCCGACTTGCTGGCAAAGAAATGGGCTGGGTTGTTCCACGGGATGATGACGGCGACAACGCCAAAGGGCTGACGGAGCGTCATTGTGATGTGCTTGGGCGTGTTTACGCTGGCTTGGCCCTGGATGTGGTGCCATGCTTCTGCGTATGTGTCAAAGTAGGACGCGGCGGTGTGGCCGTAGAAGTACTTGGCCACGGGCAGGCCCATGGAGATTGCCTCCAGTCGGGCAAGCTGCTCATTGTGCTGATGAAGCAGGGTGGCGAGCTTCTTCATGCATGCGCCGCGCGCTGTGGGATCGAGGGCGGACCATGCTGGGAAGGCGGCTTTGGCAGCTGCCACAGCTGCATTCGTATCCGATACTGATGCTTCGGGAACTTGTTTCGTCGACCGGCGGTGATGGTCAGTACAGATGACCTGAGCTATTGGTGTAGTAGAAGGTAATGGAGATGGGGAGTTGCTGCCGGCGAGTGAGTTCAATGCTGCCTACCATGTGCGGAGACATCGCGCGTCGCGGGGTTGTAGACGGTAAACGTTCCTTTGTCTGATGCCTCCACGAGCTAGATGATGTATTTCGCTTTCAGTTCACTGAGTGAAGGATATGGAGCCCCTTATGCACACACCTCTCCGTTGATCAGCATGCGCGGATGTATCATCTCATTCTTTGGCTCCATCTTGTTTAATGTTGTGGTGGACCAATTTTACTGAGGGGGAAGAAAGCAAAAAGGTTGAACCCGAAGAAGCCAATCTCGACCGACGTTGGCTGACTATCTGTTGTACGAAATACCGGGGAGGAAATACCGCAAAGATAGGTATTCATTTCGTGTTACATGTGCCAAGAGATCCGAGTCGGGTATTTCTGCAGTCTGTACAACATGGTACCTACCCCGCCGGATCAGAGTAGAGGTGGACACAGGGTCCAGCACTTTTCCCCAAATCATCCGCTGCATGCAGTTTCCAATCCCACTTTCCCGGGGATGATGATAGCCGAGAACAGTCGGCAAGCATTATCCGTTGCGGGCAGATGCTGGTAGAGCAGTTCCCGTACACCCTTACAGGATGGCAGCAGCAGACCGAACTAGTTCAACCCCTCTCACGATCGAAGCCATCTTGCTCTCACAATGTGACTGGCATTGACCAAACACCAGCTCGTGTGCTTACGAGACAGAAAGACAACAATTCTCCAAAGGAATGAAACTGGTAGTACGTCCCATGTGAAAACTCCAGAATCCACATCCCAACTGAACACCACCTTTCAGCGAACGGGTCAACATGTCTCAGCGTGCACCCAGAGGTACCGTCGCGATCGAGGAGGCGGTGCTCAACCCGGACGGCATTTCCTGGATGGCCGAGTCAGCCACGCTGTACAACCCAGGCCAAGATCCAACCAAGCTCGCCAATCATGGGCACACCAAGTCCCTTGTCGACATTCATTCATCCCGTCTCGCCCAGATGGACGAGCATGGTGTCGAGTACATGCTTCTCTCCCTGACTTCACCCGGCGCACAGGGTGAGCCCGATCCTGCCAAGGCTCTCAAGATATCCATCGATGCCAACAACTGGCTTGCCGAGCAGGTCGCCCTCAACCCTGCTCGGTTCGGTGCCTTCGCATCTGTCTCCATGCATGATGCTGCCGAGGCCGCGGCCGAAGCGACGCGCGCCGTCAAGGAGCTGGGTATGTTTGGCGTTATGCTGAACGACTACCAAGTTGTCACACCTGGGGGGAAGGGAAGAAGTATTTTGACGCTGAGGAGTATCTCCCTTTCTGGCAGGTCATGGAGGAGCTTGGCGTGCCTGTCTACTTGCACCCTCGATACCCGCCTGCCAAGGATCTGGAAAAGGGAACGAGGTATGGGGATAGAAAGCAGATACTAGGTGCGGCCGTGCAGTTCCACTTGGACCTCAGCATGCACATTTACGCGCTGTGCTCAAGTGGTGTCTTTGACAAGTTTCCAAAGTTGCAAGTGGTATGCGGTCATCTGGGAGAGGGGTAAGTTCCGGCACTTATGTGCGCAGTCGTCGAGAACTCGCCGCAGCAGTGATGTTAACGTGAGCACAGGATCCCATTCAATCTCTGGCGCGCAGATCATTGGTATAACAAGCCCGTAAAGAAAGCAACGAGGCCGTCAAAACATGACTACAGCTACTACTTTACCCACAATGTTTCTATTACGTCTTCAGGGGACTTCAGCACCGAAGGACTCAAATTCTGCATCGACGCCATTGGCGCCGACAGGTGCCTGTTCTCAATTGGTAAGTACATTGGCACAGAAACTATCCGGAGTTCACGCTAAAGTCTTCAGATTACCCCTATGATACAATCGAGGAGGCACAGGACTGGTGGAAGGCTATTCAGCTTCCTGAGGAGCAGAAGCTTGCAATTGGGCGAGAGAATGCAATCAAGCTGTTCAAGTTGCCCTTGGAGTTGTAACATGAGACATCAAGTCTACTTAATGATGCAACACACGACAGCATCTCCTAATGACCAGTTTAGTCTGAAATAGGGAGTCTTCTCTGGTACAACCAACTTCCTAGCTGGGGTAACGTGTTCCCTACTCTCCGAGTGCAACATAAAAGTTCTATATGGATACCCATTAAACTTGTCAATATCGTGTCACAGTCAGCAGCGCGTACAGCAAGGACCAAATGCAACGCATCATAACAACGCGCACATCCAAAATGTAGCGGGTCACTATAAGGGGCAGTGCTATGCCTGGGATGTGGTCAACGAGGCGCTGGAGGATGATGGGAAATATCGTCAGAGTCCAAGTATGTCATGCATGCGCTTCATATCTTCATATCGTTAAAACCCGTCCACACACACACACACACATACTGAGACACTGCACAGTGTACCGCGCCATGGGCATTGACTACATCACGCACTCATTCAAAACCGCTGCGGCCACCGACCCAGCTGCCAAGCTCTACTACAACGACTTCAACATCGAGCGATGTTGCAATGCAAAAATCAACGCCACATACACGCTCGTCAAGACGGTTCAGGCTGCTGGGGCACGCGTTGATGGTATCGGTATGCAGGGTCACTCGCGCGTGGGAAAGTCGCCCTCTAAAAAGGAGCTGATGGACACCATGGCTCGATTCTCAGAGCTGGTTGACGAGGTCGCCTATACCGAGATTGACATCCGTCATTTGAAGCTGCCCACACCTCTGCCGCGGACAAAGAACAGCAAGCCAAAGACTACCTTGAGGTGGTGGGGGCCTGTATCGATACGCCCAAGTGTGTCGGTAAGACAATAAGACCCCCAGAAGTCCGGGCATGAGAAACGTTGCTGACCGCTGCAATGTGACTTGGAACTTAGGAATAACTATCTGGGACTTTACCGATCAATATTCGTGGATTCCGGGTCAGTACTCGGGCGAGGGCGAGGCCTGCCTGTGGGATAAGAGCTACAATAAGAGTGCAGCATCGGCAAGGGCGGGCAGCAGCAGCACAGCAACTATCACGGCAACAATTAAGAGTCCAAGTTCTGCCAGCGCGCCTATGGCCGCAGCAGCGACTCCAACAGCATGAGCTGCTGCAGTTGTGCTGGCGGAAAGAGATCTCCAGGGTGGGAAGTAAAGGTCTGGTGGGAACAGAAATGAGCTGGAAATTTTTTTTTTTATCTCAGTTAGCTTTCCAGGTTGACGATAAGGTGAGGTGCAGTGTAGTAGTGTAAGTAGTTGCTGCTGCCGCAAGAGGTGTGACATCAGTTGTGTTTCTAAGTAATCATACATTACCATCAGTAGGTCCGATGGTGTAGTTGGTTATCACGTCAGTCTAACCACACTGAAGGGTCTCCGGTTCAAGCCCGGGTCAGATCACATTGAGTCTCTTTTTTATTGAGTCTCTTTTTTATTGAGTCTCTTTTTTATTGAGTCTCTTTTTTGCATTCCATCCATCCATCCCAACCTGACGCTATCTAACCCACTTCCAAACCAACCCCCATCCGCCAAATACCGACGCGAGTCCTGTAAACAGGATCAAGGGCCCATACTCAGTTCCGTAGCCAAACCTTCCCTGCGCTTGCATCTTCAGCCCCAACAGCGGCACGCTGACCAATCCACCGCTCACATAACCGACGCCTCTTGCTCCATTCAGTAGCCCATAGACCATTCCCGTGTCGATTGCTTCGTTGCGCATCGCTGCCTCGTGCTCCAGCTCGTTGATGATGCCGCCCCACGTGGCACTGTACCCGCCAGCAAAAAAGCCAAACGTGATGGAGAAGACGATGAGCAACGCCATGCTGCCCTGGTATGTCAGACCCCAGAAGAGGAATGCAGATATTGCGGAGCAAAGAGCGGATATGGATGTCGCCGTTGTCGCGGACACAGAGCTGCTGGACGGTAGCCATCTCCTCTTGTTGTGGTTGATGTTGGAACTGTTCTCGCTGGAACTGCTGTTGCTGAGATAGCCAAAAAAGGAGGAGGAAGCAATCCCAGGGATGTTGAACAGGGTCAGCAAAAGCGTAGCAGACGTCTGCGAGAGCAGGGTAACCTCATGTGCGTACGTGTTGAGGTATGTCTGTGGAATACCGTACCCGGCGGACTGGAGGACAATGGCAACCATGTAGATGTAGAAGGTTCGGCGACGGAGGAAGTGCCATGGAATTCTGCGCCTCTCATGCCCGCCATCGAGATCTGACGTTGATGCATGCGGCGCCAGGGATGTGATCGTAGAGGGAGGCGTCGGTACTAGGAATATTGCAGAAACACTGCTTGCCAGCGCAACCGCCGTCCAGACACGAAGCGCAACGCGGAAGCCATAGCGGTCCAGCAAGGCGCGCATCAAAAACGGGCAAGCGGACCCTACCACGTTCTTGCACGACAGCACAAGGCCATACGCCACTGCCCGGTTTCCGGTGTTGTACCACTCGCCAAGTGACAGCGTCGTGGGGCTGTAGACGAGCGCGCATCCAAGAGCGGCGAGAACGCCCTGGGTTGCGACGAGGTGCCACACGTCTGTGCTGAAGGACGACAGTAAAAAGCTGAGACACGCAACGACTGAGCCGACCAAGGCGGCAGCTTGGCGGTGACGGGCAAGGCGGCCACGCGTGAAGAGGGCAAAGAGAAACGGCATGGACAGGTACATGACTCCGTTGGAGGTGGTGCCGATGATACCCGTGAGCGATGGGTTTCCGGCGAGAGGAAACGAGGAGGAGAAGTACTCTTGAAGGACGCCATAGCTCATGGCAAAGCCTGTTTGGATGGGTTGGTTTGGTTGGTTAGAGTTAGAAAGGGACAGACGGGGAGCTGCGAAACGGAAGTTGCCTACTCACCCCAGATTGGCAGCTGCAATATGGAGGAGCCAACAAGGACATATGTCTTCCTCCGAGACGGCCCTGACTGTGATGTGCTGGATGGCCCAAAGTTTGATCCATTTTGCTCAGCGTCGTGATGCGCTTGCCCGCCGACATCGGATGGTAGCGGCTGGCGGAGGGCGATGCTCTCAGGTCTGTTCCCTGCCATATTGGAGAATTGGGGTATGCGATTTCTATGAAAAACTGAAGAAATTTCGTTGTGAAGCCCGCCAGCATGGAGATTGTTGCTTCCAGGAAGTCGGTCGCGTGAGTTGACGGAATTAAATTTGGGTTCTTGTGTGAATAAATACTACACCAAGTAATTGTACCTAAGCAAGTGAGCGGGGGTACTTGGTGAAAGCTCGCCAAGAGATAGGGATGTTATTCCCGATACCTTACTAAAAGGAGACAGGGGCAAAAGGAGACAGGGGCAAAAGGAGACAGGGGCAAAAGGAGACAGGGGCAATGGAAAGCCATGATACACGTACTGTCTCCGAGCATAAGTGAAGTGAAAGTGATAATATCAAAACATAAAAAGAATGGCCATTTGAAACCCCCGAAGCCCTCTGACACCCCCACAGTCGAAATCGGACAGGATAGCGGACAGGATAGCGGACAGGATAGCGGACAGGATAGCGGACAGGATAGCGGACGCATTGATGTCGATCCCTTTGAGTAGACTACTATGGACAGGTGCTGACGCAAAGAGTTGAACCCGCAGCCTTTACAAGTAAGTGGTGGTGCACTGTATCACACAGCAATCCCACATGACCATCAAGTACCAAGTGTTATTTACCACCAACGCGTTAGTTCAGATAAATATATGACAGGCAGCTGGGTAGGTACCTGTGTATTTCACGACCTTTTGCACCTTCACCATCACCAATCGTCGCTGACGTCGTATCAAGCAGCCGGGTCCACCTTATCCTCAAACAACTTCACACTCAATCAGACTCTGCGTGGCATTGGCCACGCTCCAAATATGACGAATCTTCAACCCTGTGTCTCTCTCCAACAGCTCATACCAGTCCTGTTCTGTGCGCTCCTTCGCCCGCGTAAACATGAACATGCACAAGTCCTGCGACGTAACCTCATATTTCGCCCCCATCCGCGGTACTACAACTTCATTGATCAACAACCTGCTGTACCCAGGCCGCATCGCGTCTTTGATGCGATGCAGAATCTGCCGGCATTGCTCGTCCTCCCAGTCGTGCAGAACGCGGTTGAGGCTATATGCTCTTGCTCCTGGGTTTATACATCACTATTGTTAGCGGATCTCTCTGCCCTCATCGAACCTGGTCTTCAACGATACCTGCTCAAGAGCATGAAAAAAAAGTATCTACGAGGATGGTTGGTCAGTCACTTACCCCTGATAGGCTGTTCCTCGAAAAAGTCATGTGCCATAGTCTCAACCTTCCACTTCTCCTCCGAGTTGGGATCAAGAGACACATCATCCACAACACTTGGGAGATCCTGCAACACCAACCTGTAACCCCCCTCTCTTATCACATGCGCATATCGGCTGCCAAACTCTTTGATATGCCACCCCTTCCCCCCACCCATGTCGACCAGCAGTACTGGCGCAACATCACCGCCACCCTCGCTTTTGTTGCTAATGCCAGCCAACAGTCGATCCTCCACAGGATAGAAACCCTGATCGAACCATCGCGCCACCCCGGCGGATGAGCCAGCTAGGTGGAGGTTGAACGCGTTGGCCAGGCCGATGCTGTAGGTGTACTCGAACACGTTGAGAGTTGTGCTGTGTGCTACCTGGAAGGCGGATAAAGTTGAGGTATCCCTGTTTTTTGATCCGGAGGAGTGTGTCATCGGCTTGATGTACTCGGGGAGGTGGGCGGTGGCGGAGGTTGCGGTCCTCAAGCTTTTTGTCGTCCAGATAGAGGTGTTAATAGGGGGCGCTGTCGCTGTGCGGGAGAGGATGATCAAATGGTGGCGATGAAGGAGAACAAGGAAAGACGAAAAGAAAGGGAGAAAGACGAGATAACAGCGAGGACCACCAAGATAAATACCCCCCGAAACTTACACGAAAGGGTACGAAGCGCCAATCATGGGAATAGTCATGGCGTTAGTGAATCTAGTCGGCAAATATTCGTCCGGCCCGGTCTCGACGATGTATCCCGTGGCAGCCAGATGGCGGAGTATACGAGCTTTCAATGATGGTTAGGCCAAACGTCTACCTACCCAGATTTGAACAGGCGTACCCAAAAAGCTCGTGTCAGTCCATCCTATAGCCTGCGCAAGCTCAGCCGCCGTTTTCGCGATTCCACCCCCCTGTGCCATTTGAGCAAACAGTCCGCTTTCGTAGCCGATTGCCAAGGAGGCATTGGCGGTGTCCTGTCCGGCAAAGCAGTCAACTCAGCAAGGAATCCGAAAGCTTGGCGACAAATTGAAGCGCCACAGCTGCACTCACGCTAGCCCAAAGATGTCGGATCATTGTCTCTCTAGGTGTTTCAAGCGCTCGCACAAGAGCGTGCGCCTTGGCAAGGAGCTGCAATCGGTCTTCGTGGCTGTTGCTGGCAGCCAACCGCTCACTGAGCGCTGTGATGCTGCTGACCAGCAGTGGAACATTGTCCATATCACAAGGCGTTGAGGCCAATGCAACGTCGACTGGAGTGTTTGGAGTGGCGTTAGGCATCGTGATGGTTGTTAACTTCAAGTTGTCGGTGGGGGTGATTGAGTGGTTAGGTAGTGAGAAAAGATAACGCTCGACACGCAGGCTGCAACGACTTGTCAGTTAAAGCAATGTGCTGGTTGCTGCCGTGTCCTCGGCAGTACGCAGGCTCCCAATGAGGCCTAGCCGATCTATGCTCTCGGTACATACCTGGGTACCTATCACCCTAAATAGATTCGCAAACCTTCAACAGCCCATATGCCAGTCCCTGTGCCGAGATCGATGATTTTCTGTGGGGAATCGGCTACAGGTGCAAAGAAAAGCCTGCCACAGGTCAACTCGAGCATCATGAGGTGTTTCAATTCTTCTCTCTGTTCTGTTCGACATGGTCATTTGGCAGCGGATATTGGTCCAGGTGGTACATGTGGTAGCGGCGTCCATTAAGGAGATTGTGCTCGTAGTTGGTGGATGTGATGGACGCGGACTCATCAGAAGAGGAATCGTTGCCAGACAAGTCGGAGAGTCCAGCAGCTGGTGTTAGGTTGTTGACGTCCGAGTCAAAGTCGATACCGCTGATGGACTGTGTCGTGACATGGGGTATTGGGTCCCCGTGGGTCCAGCTCAGGTCCACCAGAACCAAATCATCACTGGATATGGGACTGGAAGAGCAAAGTGCTGTGTTGGATGAAGGTGCCCGGAAGAATCCAGGGCAAAGCTTATCTACGCGGGCTGTGTGCAGGTAGGCAAATGGACCTGGATCCCTGGTGGGGATGTGGCCCACCCTAGGTGGGGTCCAGGTCTACACTGGATGAGTGGGGCGACATTTCGCAATCACGACTAATTAGAAAGATAAGAAAGGTTTATTATACTCTGGGAGATTATAGGGCCTGGGGAAT